CAAGTACACACGAAGCGCACAAGTGTAGATATAAAAGAACACAAAAATAAGGATTGTGTGTGTGCTAAAAGTCACGATTTACTATGAAACAACAGGTATTATGAAGGTAAAATGACTAAATTGTCACATACTGTCGAAGTTATTAAGGTTTCTTCAAAGGATAAACTGAATCACGTTAGTATTTATTAGTACAAGTCACTTAAGAACCAGAGTAATAAATAAGCTATAGAAGTTCTCACAAATCATTGGAAATTAATTATTTAACTCTGATCCATGTAAGACTTAATGGAGGTGAAAATTCCTTGAGTAAACACAAAAACTCACACTTGGGATTTAAAATATGGATGATATAATAGTGAAGGGGTAGGGTTTATTTTATACTACTGAAAGAATCCTCTGAGGTTCAACTAAGTAAGGTGCGGGATCGTGCATGTGCACTGCTGAGGAGTCCCATAATAGGACGAAACGGCCGTCCAGTGCTTCCAGGTTTTCCATGATGGTCTAGCTTCAATTGACTCATTATTTTAACTATGAAAATATTGAAATATCCATAAAAACCCCTTCTGATTGATAAGTAAACTAAGACTCATATCAGAAAACATCTGCCACTAGTTGAATAGTTCCATCAGTGAGCCGTAGCACTAACCCGACAATCTTTAGAATAAACGCTGAAAACATCAGGCATTTATTGTCTCTGAAATGTTGATGCAAAGCATGGGCCATAGTTTTTTTAGCTGCAACTTCCGTACAAATTAGCTATATTGACTTTGATTTGATTTTTGCTAGAAAATATGACAGATTTTGACTAAACATACGGTAAACATGGGACATCTGTGGTTAGCAGGTGAAATCCATTCAGCAGATAATCAGGTTTCTGATCTGAAAGTGGATTGAAAACTTTTATCCAAAACATTCGAGTATTGCAACCCATTCATGAAACTTTAGGGAACCGTTAACAGTGTAGAGGAAATCTTATCACTGGATTATTATTAAGTTGTCTGAATTTCTGAAATGTAGAATCACTAGCAGGAGCTTGAAATATGCCATCCAGAGTAAATGATGAGAATCGAATGGTACCGCACGAGTGATATTTGCGAACGACTGCTAGATATTTTGGGTAAGCATTTACTACAGTAAACTGACGCTCCATTAAAGACTTATATCGTTGTTTAGACCCTTCATTGAGTAGAACTAATTAAAATCGAAATAAAGGTAAATATTGTGAAATATTTGAGCAAGAGATCATTTACTACCTCTGGATTAAAATGAATTATCTTTGTATTGAGGTGAAACAAAAAGACTGATGTACAAAGTCTAAATAACATCTACCTTCATAATAATAGAAGACTTGATATAAACATATACATATATATTCATTGAATATACTTCGAAATGCCTACAATACAAGGTAGTTAGAACATTTAGTGGTGAACGTTCCTGATATATATACTGAAATCCCACAGTCATTCGATATTACCAGTTAAACTTTGTCAAATTATTTCTAGAACACCTGGTCGCTCTAAGAACCCATCGGCTCTAAAACGTTTTTCTTTAACGTTATCAAATTACAAGTTAATAACAGGCATATGCTAGTTATAAAATAGATAAACGCTTATTCAAACCCATTTTATTTACAAAATTTTTACATTTATATTTGAGCAAAAATTAATTTACATAAATGAAATGATAAATTAGAATGATACATAAGTGTTCCGTCGAACAATTGACAGCGAATTCCCTTATCGGGATTATTCCAGTAATATGGACATAAGTGGTGTCGTACTTACTTGAAAGGGTTCAGTCACTGAAGATTGAATTACTTAGTCATTCATTTGAATATAAGTTTACATGATGTATGCTTTTGATTGGTGAAGACAAGCGTCTGTGCTACATAAAATAGACTTGTTCAATATTGTAAATAGCTTCTTTCCACTCTGTATTTAATTGGGTATAGTTTTGTTTATTAATACATAGTTTTTGATCAAACTATCGGACAAGTGTCTGTAACTTACTGACTTATTTTGTTTTGGCATTCATTGTATTAAGGCCAATTATCACTTTATTCAAAATAGGTTTTTTAATACTGTTGGATTATGCTAATTACCAATTAACATTGAAAGTTTTCGTTTCACGATTTAATCATTTTAGTCTACAGTTTACTCATCATATCCCTATGAAAACAAGCAATTGTCTCGTTTTCTAACGCCTGTTACCCCTCGTGGACGAACATAGGCCGCACACCAACATTCTCCATCTAACCCTGTCCTGGGCAATTCTTTCCAGTTAACATTCATCCTTTTTATATCTGCTTCTATTTCCCGGCGTAATGTGTTTTTTTGGCCTTCCTATATTTCACTTCCCTTCCGGATTCCAAGTTAGGGCTTGCCTCGTGATGCAGTTTGGTGATTTCAACAATGTATGTCCTATCCACTTCCAACGTCTTTTCCTAATTTCTTTTTCAACTGGAAGCGGATTTGTCTTCCCCCATAAAACGCTAATATTTTAGTATAATTCTTCACTATAAAAATGATATTTTCAAGTTGTGAAAAACTTACGTAACTAATTAAGATAAACAAAAGAATTTTACAAGTAAATACTTATACAAAGTGAAAAATAAATGAAAATAGTACAATATAATAGTTCCGAAGAAATCGACAATTCCAAAAATTTAGCACATTATCAATTTCGTGGATCGGTTAAAGTGAGACATTAACACCGTTGGATGCTGGCTTAGTGGTTAAGCACTCACGTGCAAAACTGATAGGTCCTGGGTTCGAATCTCAATAGGCGGGATCGTGGATACGCACTGCTGATGAGTCCTACAATAGGACGAAACGGCCGTTCAGTGCTTCCACGTTTTCCATCATGGCCTAGCTTCAATAGATTCATGATCTCAACTATTAAAATTATTTTTGTTTATTCTATTAATGATAAAATGAACATACTAGATCTAAGTTGAGAAGAAAGTATAGATTTATGAAATAAAATGCTTAAGATAATTTTGAAATTCAAGGTTTTGTAGGAAGATGATTAGTGAAAGCCTTTGAGTGATTGAGGCTGATTTTGAGCTGTTATTCAAAGTTTATAACCATTGGTTACGATAATTGAAAGGTTCTTGAACACATTGTTTACGTTTACCCAAGAAGATCAGAACCACAGTTATTGACTTTATGATAGTAGATTTGAAATTCATTTCACTGGTAATTCGATCCAGTACTACGAGAGACAGATTAGAAATCAACAGCGAGCTACACGGTGTCAGTCAGTCAGCTACAACGTAGGTAGTAAACAGACAGAAGTAGTCGAGAAATTCATTTATCTAGGTAGCTGTGTATTTTCGGTTGGTGGCGTAAGTGGTGAGATCAATTCACGTATTTTTTATTATTTGTTTAAACACATATTGGTACAAGGAAGCACCAGATATATATGCACCGCACAAATCTCATCTGATTTGTGTGAGGGCTGTGATACTGTCCAGGTTCCGGGACCGAAGCATAAATTATAGTCTCGCCGATTATCCTTACACATGAAAGCCAATTGAATTTAATTCACATGAAAGATTTACTCATCCTTATCTCCAATTGAATACGTTTGTTTCTATGTTCATTGAATAATACGATCAGTTGACCAACCTTGTTTTCTTACAGAATGTTGTGACAGCTTGGTTGACTATAACGCATGATTTTGAAATTACTTAGATGATCCTTCAATTCCTTGATTAAACAAATTTCAAGAGATATAACCGCTCAATCGACCAGTTGAATGTGTTGGTCATTTCGTTTATCACAAAAACAATGTAGGACCTACCATTTATGCATCGGTTCATGTGACCAAACTATATGAACATAGGAAGATGAAATTATCAAGATAAATGTCAGAATGATTGAAGTAGGAACAGTATAAGAATCAATAAAAAGCACTAAACACAGACAATATAATTTGCGGAAACAAAAAAGATTTATAGTGTAAAAGCTATAGAATCATTTTGAAACTTAGAATCTAACGAATAATAATGAGCAGATGCATTTTCCCTATTACAACTGATTCTGAGCCATATCACACAACGTCTTTAGCTGTTGATTATGGAAATGGTGCAAAACATGATAGTTTTATTTATTTAAACACATAAATATTGGTACAAGGAATCACCAGATACATATGCGCCGCACAAACCTCATTTGATTTGTGTGAGGGCTGTGATACTGTCCAGGTGCCCAAACTGAAGCAAGTGGTTATCTTAGGGGGCCACATCCCGAGCCTTTGACCTAATGATCCGATCCACAAGGCAGTGGAGCATCGTAAGGAGATACAGTCCCATGGTAGCCAGTGACCAACGATTGATTCATACGCCATTTGTCCCCTCCGGATACTGGAGCCAATGTGTACCATTGGTTTGGGATCAGGGTTTCCTAACTCCCCTAGGTGGACTCGCGGTGTCCACCAATCCGGTTAAAGCGCCGGGCATTCGCTTTCCGTTTTCTCAATTTCGTAAACAACACCCCTGCCACGAGAAGGCAGTGAGTAGGACTTCCGTGGCAGGGGCTGAAAGTCAAAATAGCTTATACCAATCTTGGCCATATTTGGCGCCTTCATGATAAAATCTTTATTCTTAGATATTGTTTTAGTAAATCTCAAATCCCTCCTCCTCCCCCTCCCAAAAAAATCACATTAAACATTAAAACGAAGTCATATTTTGATAATTATAATATTTAAGTAAAAAAAAATTCAAATTTTTTGCACAACAGAATTTTTGTTTTACAAATAATTTGGTTAGAGATAACATTTCAAAAGAAAAAAAAGTGAAAATCATAATAAGCAACTATCAATATAAAATAAATGGTAATGGTGACAAGTATAAAACAATGTGGAAATATATAGGAAATATATATAGAAGTCACTCCCAACAGTACCGCCCACACACACACACACACACGTATTTACATATAAAAGATCATATCATTTTTTTTATAGGGTGAGGGGGAGTTGATTATCATTCAAACTCTAGATAATTGTTCTAAAATTAATGGATATAATAATTTGGCAGCATTTAAACCCCAAACAAAATCTAAATGATTATAATCTGGAAAATAATGTGTTGATCTAATTGTATAATTAATTTGTTTAATAAGTTTATGAATATCTCTATAAGATGCAAGCCAATCTTGACCACCATAATAAATGATAATAGGTAATTTAAGTTGAGATATATTATATAATGGTGGATAAGATTGATTATAGATTTGTAAATTCTTTATTAAACCATAATCATATTTTTGAAAACGATCAGTAACTATACCCTTTTGAAAAACAAAAAAATGAAATGTAAACATTTTTGAATTAAAAAAAAAAAAAGGAATAACATTTTAAAAGTAAACAAGTTATTTGATGATATTTGACGAACAATACACTGTACTTGAAACATCAAGTGGTGGATACATAAGTGCTAGCTTGATATATTGATGATAGGGTTTGCATATTATGATAATCTAGTTAAGATATACTGGCTGGAGAATTTGCTATCACAACAGCCAGGTTGGTTGGAGAATGGTAAGACTGAAAGCAACAAAGTCATGATGTGAGAGCCAAGTTGTACTGCTCACTGCATAGGGAAGTGACAGCACATGAATCTGTACTGCCTTCCAATAACAGAAAGAGAGTCTTAAAATTCAACTCTCGAAATGCCATACCTGAACTTGTCTTATGGATTTCCAACTCTTTCGGTAAAGCATTCAAGATGTGGAAACAAAAAATCAATAAACACCCGAAATAAGGTAATATGTGACTGGCCTCAAGTGGTTGTCTATTGAGCTCTGACGTTGCTGAGATCACTGCCAACCCAGTTTTTGAGATCACCGGGTAAGTAATAGTGAGGTAAGACACAGGGTATTAGGGAATGATGGTAAATCAGTTGATGAGGTCATGAATCTTCATCGACTGAGATGGTTGGGCCACTTGTTACGTATGCCTCAACACCGATTACCACGACGCGCAATGCTCACTAGTGTAGGAAATGGTTGGAAGAGAGTTAGGGACGGCCAAACCAAAACATGGCATCAGTGCTTGAAGTTACTAACTTATAGTCTGAGCCATGCTGGCAGATGCAGACTACTTGGTTGGGGTCCGCGTGACTATCGTAACCAATGGTTGGAGACTCTGTGTGACATGGCTCAGAATCGATCACAATGGCGTATGTGTGTATACTCTTTATCTTCCCTTTAAACCTTGATATTAAAATTGCTTCATATCTGTCTTCTTTCCTATACTATATCCTTATAAACAACCTATCTTTTATATATTACCACCATTAAATTAACTATTTCTATGAATTTGTTGTTCATCTTGTTGTGCTAACGAGGTATGGCAACTTGGACCGATGCATAAATGTGCCTGGTTCTACGTTGTAGCTGACTGACTGACAGTTTTTGTCCCAGGCTCCTGAAAAAAATTGTCGTTTTATAGTGTGTGTCACCAGAAAGTGGTAACTGTCATCTTACATCCAATCTCTTACCAAGTGGTGTATGAGAAAACATTTCGAATTTCTTTGAACTATATGGTTTAACTGGTAACTTGACAATAATTTGTTACTGTCATTCAAACTCATTTAGAAATATCATTACCTATGATTGATAGATCCAACTTTGTTCCATGTATATATAATTTACTTAAAACTTTAGAAGCGTTTACAATTCACCGATGTTTTCAATGATAACTAATCTGTCTTTAATCGGATTGATAAACAAATTTCAAAACAAATTAGTTTATGAAGAAAATTCGATTTTCATTTAACTTGAAATCAATAGTGGAATCAGTTATTTCTATTCAGTGAGTTGTGAATTGACGGCAAACGTAAGCTTTAGATCCCAATTCTAATAAAAAATCCAGTGACTAAGTAAAAGCCCTTAACTGTAGTCATTGTCAAAAATAATCCGTGTACGGTTCACATAGGCAATTCAAATATTTTCCAGAAACTTTGAATATCTTTTAGTGTATGATTCTCGTCTAATAAGAAGGTAAATGATTTCGTTCACTAATAATCGGCAATAAACCTCGTACGTCATAAAGACTAGCTAAAGCTTAATATTAAATGTAAGGATGGCTCGGTGACAAACTCAAGAAGCCCAGAAAGAGCCGAAGACATTCCATCCAATCACCGCTGGAAGAACATTCTAGAATGTCAACGTGTAGCTCCCCTATTGGATGAATAAGAAGGCCCCCTATGTGCCTATTGGCTGTCCGAAATGATGATTTACTTCCAGCCAAAAACTATAAGTACATGAGAATTTTTTTACTCTATTTGACACTGTTTGGAGTAACATTCCTACTTACTAATCTTCTGTCTTCTCATTTTGCGACTTGGGAGGGTTCTAGCGTTGGAGTGCTCATGTGTTACTAAGAATCTAAGTTCGAGATATAACATTGAAAAAATGTGAAAATATGATCTCCACCAAGTATTGAACTTTGCAGAAAATGATGGAATACTTTTTCTCCACACAACAGTTTGAATCTATTTCTAAGGTCACTATATATTATAGACCGAGCAAGATCAAGTGTTAAGGAGAACTGTAAATTGAGGAAACTGAACAAAATATTCGTGATTCAAAGGAACACAATAATTTACACTTTAAGGTCATTAAATTAGGTAAAGCGATCAAATGACAAACCAATAATTAAGGCCGTTGGCAAATAAGGTAACGAATTTCATGTTTCAGGTTTTGATACATGAAACCATGTGGTCTGTCGGCCCAATCGACATAAAACCATACAGTCATTAGGTCATTGTAATTGTAGGATAATTAAAAAATATGGGTAAATAGTTTTTAAGGCCTGGTACTGTGTCAGGCCCATATTAGTTATTCTGGCCTCTAGACAGATCAATCCACTCATCCTTCTCAAGCTCCATTTTTTTCCTGTCGCTTATTCACTTATTACTCCTGAATGCCTTTTATACGATCGTATGTGTACCAATTACTTAGCCTAATCATTATGTGTTTGCGACTTGTTTTTGTTCGACCATAAATATCGATTCACTGGTGGCACATTGCAACTTGATCGATAGCATCCGATCAGCACTAAGGACTTGACACGCATGACATTGATCACCATCCAGTGATCAATCAATTGTGATTATATCTTAGTCCTACAGGAGGTTGGTCGCGGCCCTAATAGCTCAGTGGTAACGTCTCTGACTGTGAAGCTGAGTGACACGGAATCGAAACCGTCAGGGAGCACCAGTTCCCTCAAGATTACAGGTACACCTTGCTGACGAGTGCCGAGTAGCACGAAACCCGGGTCCGGTGTTTACTTCAGACAACCAGCATAACAGTGATGCCGCCTTCCCACAAGGAGGGGTGGGGTAAGAAAAGATCGACAATAAAAATACACACTTTGCCTTATCCCACGGATATACGTTTATATGTGTGTTCTTGCTTTATACTTCAGACTTGATTGTTTATATGATAATAGTAATTTTTAATTCATTTTTGTATTGGTCCCAACAAGTACGGAGCTAACACAAAAATTACCCACAAAAAGGTAGTGTGTGACCGACCTCAAGCAGTTATCCCTTGGACACTGAGGTCACACTTTCAGGTTATTAAAACCACTTCTAATCCGATTTCCTTTTCAGCTACCTCTAGAAGAACCCTTCCACGGTGTGGGCAACCGGGAAGTGATAACTGCCCTCATACCTTTAACAGCACTTAAGATCACTGATTCGATAACAATCAGCAAACGACTGAATTGGAGTCAGATAACGAGCCACCAAAAGTTGAACACTATACAGAAAAAAATATTTTGAAAAGACCAAGAACAAAGATTTTGGCAGAATTGCATTAATTCATTTTATTTCGTCTTTATTCTCATCAGCTGCTTACAACTTGTGTTATTTAAAACAATTACGAAATGGCTTTAAGTCAATTACACTTAAGAGTTTATTTGGAAGTTACATTGAAGCCACATTAGTATGGTATAGCAAGAGTACAAATTAATCTAATAGTTGTAGAATTTCCGGTGAGACTATAATTTATGGACGACCTTTGAGCAACGCTAAAATAACCTTGAAAATATCATCTACTTACTAGGGTTAATTGAGGGTTATAAATTAGTGCAAGGAATTAGGATTAGGATTTATTATTAAACATTAAGGTTAGATATTATGTTTAATGTTTTGATCATGAACTGATATCAGCTATAATGCCAAAATGATATTTAGCCAAAGGAGTAGATGAATGTCACGCTGAAATATGAGACCTGTTACCTTAAATCTGATTGATTCGTCCATAAATTATAGTTTCACTGAATTCCCTTTTACATAAGGTATATATTTACAATATTTTATTCAGACTATCAAATTTATATACACTCTTATTCTACATTACTAATGTGTCTTCACAATATACACTCACAATGAAACTCTTTCATGTGTAAGTAATTTTTAAACTCACTTTATAATTATGTTCTAAATAGCATAGTTCGTAAGTAACTGACCAGAATCAAACAAAATAAAGTAAATTCATACTAGTCTGTTAAAATCTTTGTTTTTGATCTTTTCAAAATGATAAAGGGAAAAAATTCTTCAATAAAGTATTTACTGGTATTGGCTAGTTGCTTTTTTTTTTGAAATAATAATTTTCCAAAGTAACATATCAGGTTTTGTCTTCTGATATTTCACTGTTGGACAGAATTAGAAAGGAAGGCCCAGGACAGAGTAGGTAAGAGAATACTTGTCGGTGGCCTATACTACATTGGGAGTAACATGTGTAAATAAGTAAACTATGTATTTCACTGTACAACGGGACATCACGAAATGAATTAGAATGTAATCCAAACTAATATTAGCTCGTATGTTGTCAGTTTAAGTTCGATCTTATAGTCTTACTAACCTGCTCAATCCTGTCTTTACATATTTTCAAATATCATAAACATGAATACCACTTCAACTGTCAAGATGTACATATACTAATAGTGATTGATCATTTGGATTTCTCAACAATGAAAATATACAAACCTTTTGTAAAAAATTACAACATTTTTTAATGATGACTTACTTGACAATAATGTACCATATTTTGGACTGATGTTCCAGCCGGTGTATGTGCAACATAAATTGGGAGACGACTCTATTATCAAAAAAGAAAATTAAATGAAATAAAACATTCGGTATCTAGGACACTAACAAAACCAAAAAAATATCTGTTGCGTTGGATACAAGTATGGCAACTAAGCTTGTTAACACATCAATCTTATCAACCCCTTTTTTATTGTGATATTTGATTGACAACAGCTAACTTTTGATGTTCCGTTTATTAAAAAAGCTGATGTTAACAAGGATATAAAATCATTAGTTCATCTACTTGAATGATATGATCATTGTTGCCTGAGTGAAAAACAACAACAACAACAAGCAGACCAGATGTAATTCATTGAGAATTTCGATGGCATATTCAGTTCATTAACATATTTTTCATGGGAAAAATGCTTCTATTGTTATTCTTTAGATGATGTTACTATCAATTATACATGAAATAACACTAATACATCATTCATTATATATGAAGATTTCATTAAAAATATACATTTAGAAGATTCAACATCATGATTAAATAATAATTACTGAAGATAAGATGGTGGTTGTAGGTGGTCAACAGGAAACCCTGGACTAGGGTTTCGTGCTACTTGGCACTCATCAGCAAGGTGTACCTGTAATCTTGAGGGAACTGGTGCTCCCTGACGGATTCGATTACGTGTCACCCAGCTTCACAGTCAGAGACGTTACCACTGAGTTATTCGGGCCAAAAGCATTCGATCAGGACTAAGACGGACTTGACACGCACGACATTGATCACCATCCAGTGATCAATCAATCGTGATTACATCTCAGTCCTACAGGAGGCCGGTCGCGAGATTCGAACCCAGGACCTACCAGTTCGAATCTCGTTAGGCGAGGTCGTGGATGCGCACTCATGAGGAGTCCCACAATAGGACAAAACAGCCGTCCAGTGCTTCCAGGTTTTCCATGGCGGTCTAGCTTCAACTGAATCACGCTTTCAACTATGAAAATACTAAATCTCCACAAAATCCCTTCTGATAATAATAAAACTCACAAGTACCTCAATTTAGATTGCAAAAAAATGTTTCTACAACTAGTCAGTACATTCATTTAGTATTCTTTGTTTGAATATTCCCATTAATGTTTAGGATTACAATTGATCAGTCTCTTATTGGCATATGTGCATACTGTGCGTATTGCCTTGATATAGCCTTAATTCACAAGCATTATAGTCAGTACATTCATCTATTTTAGATAGTTCATTAACAAAATGGTTAGAATTATATGTATCATAATATATTAAATTTGATATTGTTTGTTTAAAACTTTCAGAAAAACAATTTTTTTATATCCTTTATATCTCTATATACAGAGAGAGAGAGAGAGGAGAGTGAGTGAGGGAGTGAGAGAAAGGTGAACAATAATAATTAATCTGATATAATATTGTAAAATTAAAATGTCCAAAATGTCAAATTCCAAGGTCATGTAATTCATAAAAACACGAGAGAGTACAGAATTTTAATTTTTTTTTTAACAAAATGATAATCATAGAAGGGGTTTTGTGGAGATTTAGTATTTATCATTGTTGAAAGCGTGAGTCAATTGAAGCTAGACCACCATGGAAAACCTGGAAACACTGGACGGCCGTTTCGTCCTATTATGGGACTCCTCAGCAGTGCGCATCCACGAACCTGCTCTCGCGAGCGAGATTCGAACCCAGGACCTACCAGTCTCGAGCCGAATCTCGCTCGCGAGAGCAGGTTCGTGGATGCGCACTGCTGAGGAGTCCCATAATAGGACGAAACGGCCGTCCAGTGTTTCCAGGTTTTCCATGGTGGTCTAGCTTCAATTGACTCACGCTTTCAACAATGATAAAATGATAATCATTGTATTGAAACTAATCAGTTAGTGAAATGATGATATGGTATGTCTTCTGTTGATGCCTATGAACCATAACTCAATTATCGGATACAAATTACTCATATTTTAATGCAATAAAAAAGTCATGAATTGTTAAGTTAATTAACTATAGTTACAGTTATAGAGGACTGGAGTTAAGCATTCTTCTTTATCCCCTATCTTAATAACGCCACAGAGATAAATTTATTTATTATTTATTTATTTAAACACATAAATATTGGTACAAGGAATCACCAGATACATATGCGCCGCACAAACCTCATTTGATTTGTGTGAGGGCTGTGATACTGTCCAGGTGCCCAAACTGAAGCAAGTGGTTATCTTAGGGGGCCACATCCCGAGCCTTTGACCTAATGATCCGATCCACAAGGCAGTGGAGCATCGTAAGGAGATACAGTCCCATGGTAGCCAGTGACCAACGATTGATTCATACGCCATTTGTCCCCTCCGGATACTGGAGCCAATGTGTACCATTGGTTTGGGATCAGGGTTTCCTAACTCCCCTAGGTGGACTCGCGGTGTCCACCAATCCGGTTAAAGCGCCGGGCATTCGCTTTCCGTTTTCTCAATTTCGTAAACAACACCCCTGCCACGAGAAGGAAGTGAGTAGGGCTTCCCTGGAAGAGGCTTTATACGCGTGGCCATGTGAGAGCATTTCGAGAGGGAGAGTAGACTCTCTTCACTCTCGGCCGAACCAGGGCATTTGGGGGCAATATTTCTTAAGGACACAGTTTATTAGTAACAACTCAGATAACAAAATTTCCATAAAGGCGTAATTATTTTCATGGGTTTAAATGAAAAGCTTCATATTTCTTTCTGCAATCTCATCGGATTTTAAACGTAGCATTTTAGAGATTAGATTTTTTACACTAAAATCACCATTACTTGTTACCATATCACTTAAGTTAACTTACTGATACTGTTATATCCCGTGGAGAATTATGAATGGTAACTGAGGACTATTTATGGACCAATATGATACGTATATTTCCTATTGTATAGTTGTTGAGTAACTAAACTATTCATATCTGTGTCATTTTTATTATAAGCTTTATTTTGACCTATGAACTATTAATATACGATTTACCATTCTTGAGTTATACCCAGTCTATTAATTACGGTTCCCCCTATTCACAGACACATTTGGCCAAATCTTGTACAAATGTTATTTTCTATTTTATGGTACGATGTGGTCTATTTGTTTAGTATATAAACCCAGTATGTTTGAGAATAATGATTCATATTGCAGAGGCTGTTATTGGTGTTCTGGACTTAACTGGCTTGGCTAGGCAGAAAGCAGGACTGACAAGTACTCAAGACTGCCCATACGGCTTTTGTGTATCAATGGGTGATCAATAAATTCAATGCTCTCTCGTAGGTATGAATCAGCACGTTCATGTATCAAACAGGGCACGCACGCACACACTCACAAGTTATAACAGTTACCATCACATGTGAATAGTGTGTCTATGGCACATACGAAGAAATACATGTAATCTGTATATTATCTTTTTATTTCACTGAAGGTACTGAACAAATACAGAATTTCATAAAGCGGACTACTTCACAATATGACTGTCTTTATATTAACTTCTAAATGTCTATCCGACAATATAAAAGATTATCAGGTGTTTGGTGGAGATTTAGTATTTTCATAGTTGCGGACGTAAGTCAATTGAAGCTAGACTCGAGACTGGTAGATCCTGGGTTCGAATCTCACGAGACGAGGTCGTGGATGCGCACTACTGAGGAGTCTCACAATAGGACGAAACGGCCGTCCAGTGCTTCCAAATTTTCTTTGGTGGTCTAGCTTCAATTGACTCACGCTTGCAACTATGAAAAGATAAAAGATGTAATTAAAGTGAACAATTAATAAACATTTTGAATATATATAGAAATAAAAATCTGTGTAGTAATGCTTATTAAAGAGCAACTTACCACATTTGTATTTTTAGAATCATATCCAGCAAGTAAATACATTATATTACTACATACAAAGGGTATACGATGCGGTTTGCATAAGAATAATGCTAAAAATTGCATAATTTTACCTGAAGGTAAAAATTCACCATTTCCAAACCATTCTACAACTGGTTCAACTGTTTTTACAAATGGTGCAATATAACGTATAGGACTTTTAATTGAACCAAGATAAGCAGCTGGTGCTAAGGCGATGAATAAATCAATAAATGATTGTATTATAGGATGTTCATCAAAACATGCCAAAGCAATTTGACAGCCCTATAAGAAAAGAAACAAAACAAGTTTAACGGTTGACATCATGAGTCGATTTAAGCTAGATTAGACTTTCTACAAACCATCATTCTGATGAAAAAAATTCATTGGTAGTGAGTTGGTACTGTTACGAATAGTTGCATAATTATAATTAGATGATGAAAAATATTTGAAGAACCTTATGGAAACTTCTTCAACGTCACCCCACATACAAATGAAGATATCAGGATGGTCATCACACAGATCAAGAGTGGGAAAGCAGCAGTAAAAGCTGACAGTATACCAGCTGAAGCATTGAAGTTAAATACAGAAGTAATCGCAAACAAGCTCCACGTTTTATTCAGAAGAATTTAAGAGGGAGAACAACTACTAACAGAAAAGAAAAAAATCTCATCAATGTACCAAAGAAAGATCTCAGTAAGTGGGAGAACCACACAGACACCACTACCAAGGAAAGTTTCCTACTGACTGGTGTTGGATTGAATGAAAGATTCGCTAGACTCCCAACTTCGAGATCAACAGGCTGAATTACATAAGCATCAGTCGCATCCAAATCAAATCGCCACACTACAGATCAATCAATTGAATAGAGTTTGTCACCATATATCAAATTCCTTCACTGTGAAAAACACGCTTGACAGTGTGGATAATAGAAAGTTTTTGAATTTTCTTCGACATTATTTAGCGAATAGCTGAGATCATCAACATCACACGGAATTCATACGACGGACTACACTGCAAAGTGGTGCATGAAGGACAGCTGACAAATGCAATTTATGTGAGAAACGGAGTCGAACAAGGATACTTTCTCTCACTCTTCCACTTTCTTCTGGTGGTCGACTGGATTATGAAGACCTCCACACCTTAGGCGAAGCACAGAACATAATCGATAGCTCGCATGCAACAAGATGATTTGAACTTTGCAGATGACACAGCTCTTCCATATCATATGCGGCAACAAATACAGGTGTAGAAAACCAGTGAAGCATCAGCCTCCGTATCAGTAGGCTTCAACATGCAAAAGCGAAAAAGAAAGATCTTCAAATACAACAACGAGAACACCAACTCATTCAAACTTGACGGAGAAGCTCTGTATGAGGTGGAAACTGTCATCGACGAACAAGGACAGCAACATCGATAAGCAAGAAGGATCATATCCAGACGTAAAGGCGATGATTGTCAGAGCAAGAGCTGCATTCCCGCAACCGAAGAACATATGGAATTCAAAACAACTGCCAACCAATATCAAAATCAGAATTTGCAATACGAACATCAAGTCAGTTAATTCTATTGTATGGAGTTGAAACTTATAGAACTGCTACAACTATCATCGAAAGGTACAAGTATTTATAAACAGTGGGTTATGCAATATACTAGACGTTCGTTGATGGGGTATCATCAACAACAACCTACTATGGGAGAACAAACCAGGTTTCAGCTGAAGAAGAAGTTAGTAAAAAATGCTGGAGATGGGTAGGACACAAATCGTGGAAATCACCAAACTGATGGAGTTTCGTTCTTTGAACTGGATGGTTTGGTTATAAATCTTTCATCGTTCTTCTGAACGTCATCATCAGCACAAACTTCAAGTAGAAGTCATGACAAATCAGTTGTTAGATAAAACTTTGTTATACATGTTACTATATTCATGATTTAAGGTGTTCTTTTTTAGTCGTTAATCAATTACTCATTTCAATGTATTTGCACATGATCGTACAACTAATTAACTATTAAAGTATTAAGTGTAATAATACATTAGCTTGCGCAAGTGATATATTTATATACAAAGTACTTGAATAACTAACTAGTACAAACACTTTAAACATGACTGTACAGCAGTATTATGCAATAAGAATTACTAGTGTGGTGTGTGCTACTTATATCGATAGATATAAGTTGCATGTATCATTAATCAAAAGTGAAATACCTGAAGGCAGAAGGTTAAGAAGATCAAAGAAAAAGAGAACGAGGACAGTGAATGATTAGCATGGAATCAAAAGAAAAATGAAGTCTGAGATAAGTGACTGATATTTGCAAACGGAACAATCAAGTTTGAGATAATTGATTAACAGTTTGTAAATTACTTATTAACTGTATGGTTCTTAGGTTTTACTGAGATGTTCTGTAGATTTGTAATGAAATACATTCGATTGACCCTACTTGTGTTCTTGTTCACTACACTAGTAAATATTATCAAACTTAATCTAGTGAGAAGAGACATACTGCCTGATACGAAGACGATATAAACAACAACGTCAGAAGGAAACAAAAGTAAGACATTTTATTCAATGTATCAATTTATCAATGTATTTGGGCCCCAAAATGCCCTGGTACGGTCGAGAGTGGGGAGAGTCCACTCCCCCTCTCGAAATGCTCTCATATGGCCATGCGAATATATAGCCTCTGCCAGAGAAGTCTTACTCACTGCCTTCTCGCATCAGAGGTGGTGTTTACTAAATTGAGAGGACGAAAAGCCAATGTCCGACGCTTTAACCGGGTTGATGGACAAGGCGAGTCCACCTAGGGGAGTTAGAAAACCCTGATTCCAAACCAATGGTGCACATGGGCTCCAGGATCCTGAGGGGACAAATGGCGTATGAATCAATCGTTGGTCACTGGCTACCATGGGATTGTATCTTCCCATTGCCTTGTGGATCAGACATTCAGGTCAAAGGCTCCGTGTGTAGGCCTCTAAGAAAACCACATGCTTCAGTTTGGGCACCTAGGCAGTATCACAGCCCTCAAGCAAATCGAATGAGATTTGTATGGTGCATATGTATCTGGTGATTCCTTGTACCAATATTTATGTGTTTAAATAAATAATAAATATATTCAGTATGAAATGGTTTTTGAATTATCCGGTTGTTGATATTCTCGACTGGGTTTTGATCAGTCTTAATTGACATATGTACATCATGTGTGAATTACCCTGATATAATCATTATTACACACACTACAATAAAACAAATAGAATGCGGGTAACAGTGAAATGAAATATCTGGGTTTCACCCCTTTTAGAACTCATCAGATGAAATTGCTTTCATCACAATGTTAATGTCCACTTAGGGATTCGAACACAGTAGCTTTCGCTAAAAATTCTAATCAATATATCAATTAAAAGATAATGTAAGCCATTATAAATTAAATTGAGATTCATACCCGTTGTACAAGTGAATGGCTATCTGTACTCAATCGCCCAGTGGATAACACGCTGTGCGTTTGAAGTTAAAGATACAGTGTTCGAATCCCAAAGTTAACATCGAATCCGACTCAAGTATATCAAGCTAATGAGTAACAAGTAAGAAAAAACAGGCCTTCTGGATTCCTTTGCTAGCCAAGTCGTTCTATAATACATGAAATATATATACTCATTAATGTAATTTTTATGCGAAATAAAAATTCTCCTAATGATTCATTTTTGAATTTATTCAACATATTCTGGACTCCACGAATGGCTGTTGTCAATCTTTGCTTAGAAATAATTAAGTAATGAATGATTGGAATGTCGGTAAGCGTATAACACTGGAATGAGATTATAATACCTGTTATGACTCGTAAGTTGAACGCTTTATTCGGATCCTAGCTATTTGGATAACCCCAGGCTAGCACTACTCAGCGACTTGGAAGACCAGAGAGAAGACACGAGTATCAGAGAAGCACTTTACTACAAGGTTCAATTTTGTACAGAAAAACAGGGGTTTTATAGTAGCTAAAAGACCTTGAGATCCCATAGTAACAGTATGTTAACAGCCAATCAGGACCTTGTTATTTTAGTAGCATTTTAGTAGCATAGCTTCTAACTAATCGCTGATTGGTTGGTCTCTTTATGAGCCTCTCTGGAGGCTCCGATAGAGTTTATTGTAAGCCGATCTAACAATACCCGCTAAGAATTTTTAGCTTATTACTAACCAGTCAGAAAGCTGCCTTGTAAATGGACAGTTCAAGGAAAAGTGCACAGGCTGGTGTATATAACATTTTATGAATTTATTAAGGTCCTCCACAGGTTACTCTGTCGGCAAATTGAAAAAGCCAAATACTCATAAATTCGTCTATGTAGTTGTGGATAATCCATTTACTAGAACCTTTATTAGGACTCAAATAGATTTATAAGAATATTCATGTTGTTCCTGGTTCAAGTTAGGAATTTAGATTTTTATCACGAAATGACATCAGCTACATTCCAAATGTTCTCTGTAGCAACGTGGATGAATAGATCTCGCCAAAAAGTTCAAGAGACAATAACAAATTAATTCGTTCATAAAATATGTTATTAGTGGGTTAAAGTTTGTCTCAGGAACAAGTGTTTAGGTTTACCATTTATAGATAATGTCGAATAGCCTGTTATATACAATTTAATGGGGGGGGGGAGAACTAACTATTTAATATATTTAACCCTATCACTTTTCTCCATGATCAAAAACAATAACTTTCAATCTTATTTTAAAAGTTCTAAGCAATATAAACAATTATTTCCCCTGCACATTACACATGTCATGGTGAATTTTACACAAAAGCCTGAAAGTTCTATTCTCGGATTCTGATTTTTTTATCAGAAGGCGTTTTGTGGAGATTACAGTATTTGCATAGTTGAATTTATGAGTCAATTGAAGCTAGACCACCATGGAAAACCTGGAAGCACTGTTTCGTCCTATAGTGGGACTCCTCAGCAGTGCGCATCCACGATCCCGCCTCACAGTGGAGTTCAACCAGGTCCATTGTGAGATATCATCTCACTGAAGGCAATTGGTGAACGGTTGTTCATCTTCGTGGATTGGTTGAAGTTAGACATCAATGCCATCGGATGCCGACTCAGTGGTCTATCGGTTGAGTGATCTGGTGCGAGACTGGTAGGTCCTAGGTCCGAATCTCGCGAGTTGGGATAGTGGATGCGCACTGCTGAGGATTCCCATAATAGGACGAAATGGCCATCCAGTTCTTCCAGGTTTTCCATGGTGGTCTAGCTTTAATTGACTCATGAATTCAACTATGCAAATCTTTTTTTTACC